ACACCAGCCTGCTGAAAAGTATCCTCTGTAATCTTGGTCCATATATAGTTCTCCTGTTACAATTAGGACAGTGAAGGAATTTAGTAGATGAATTGCTGACAGATCTATAGAGTGGACACTGAAGCACACAGCTATGACATGTAAAGAATTGGTATTATTGTATCTGTTTCATAAGCTGACCACTTCTGACAAAAGGGAAGGGTGAAAATTAATTTGGCATGGCATGCATGCAGCATTTCACTGCTCTAATCTGGTGCTGCCTGAAAGCTTGTTTTGGCAGGTATTGTATCCTGGAATGACACAGAATTAGAACCGGCACGGTTTCAAAATACTTCCAAAACCAGCTTAACCAAATGAAATCAGCTGAGCTCTGGAGATGTGAAATGCACGTTTAGAAACACTCAGAGCTGGAATGTAGGTGAGGCTAAATACAGGAATACCACTGTTATGTGAATACCTAACAACAGGAATAATACCAATAAGGATGTTTATACATAACAGCATTTTTATTTCTAAATTAATCTGAATTGCTAAACCTCTTAAAATGTTAAGTCAGGACTCCCAGATTCACTGACATATGGAGCTAAGAACTGTTAATCTTAGTTTTACTGCTGGGGAAACTGAGGCAGAGAGGTTCAGTGACTTACCCAAGGCCACAGAGGGAGTCACTGTCAGAGCCAGGATTAGAGCTCAGGAGTTTCTGGCTCCCAGTTCCCAAGCTCAGACCATTAGACCATGGCCTCAGGATATTTCCAGCTGATCTTCAGTCTAAAAAAAAGTAAATTCTCAAGTATGTTACAAATATGTAACATATATATATATATATATATATATATGTATATTTTTATGGGTATACATATATATATATATATATATATGTATATTTACCTGGATGTAATGGTATGACTGAAAAGACATTGCTCATAAGTCAGTGCTAAAAATCAAACCAGTATATTTTATCTGAGTTACCTTAATCATACATATATGTATGATAAAGCTGTGCTGAAAAAAATTATGCTTTCAATTACAGCCAATACAAGTACGCATTGTATTTTTCAGGGTAAGGAACAAATTGCCTTTCCAACCCATCCAGCATGTCATTTATATTAATGGTGAGGAATGATAAGTTGCTCTGTGTGTAAGTAAACTCTATTAAGAAAGTCAGGTCCCTTGGTGAAGCTAGATCCTTAGTAAATTTTACTAGCTAAGCACTGAGCTCCATGTCAGAGTAATTACACCTTTTATCCACTGTGAGCTCTCTCTTTGCTTCTCCATATTCCTTAATTTCCCACTTCAGCTAATTTAGCAGTAAAAACGCAAAGGTTTAAAAGGTTAGCTGCCGAGGAACTGGCGCATGAATGTTCTGTTAAGCTCCATGCATTGAAATCGCATTATGTAGAAGAAGGAATTAATTAAGCAACAATTAGGTAGTGATGGATCATTGACAACATATATACACTTGGGTGCTAAAAATTAATCTCCCCTGTAAAAACAATACACTGTGCATCTTCTCATCTATACACAAGCAAGTTTTACACTTGAAATATCAAATAGAAAGGCCCTTCAGCAACTTCTTTAAGAAAAAGAGGCATATCTTCTGTCACTATTAAAACTAAAAAATATTTTTAAAAATCATATAGCTTAATTTTTAATAAATAATTGAAAAAGAAATAAGAATAGCAAAAGGAGAAGAAATTTTTAAAGGTAGGAAATTTTAAACTGACTGTAAGGACATTTGTTACATGAAAGTACTTAGTATGTTAAAAATGCTAACAGCTGTGTAGTATCTTCTTTTGCTATCTTCTTTTGCAAGTTGCCATATTCTTTCCTTCTATTGACAGTCAGCCTCTTAATACATAGATTGGCAGTTAGCCCAGTCAGTCCTCAATTCTAAAAGCCTCTTAGCAGATGAAAAATCTTTGGTTCATTCACACCTTGTAGAAAGAACAACAGGGCAGAAGTGACATCCAGATCCATTTAGAGTACACTTTGAGTCTGATTTTCCTTTGCCTTGCACCTTGTGTAGTCATTTATAGCTTTGCAAAGTGAGCACAAAATGGATATAAAACACTGCTACTCATGTGAGGAGAGAATTCTGATTTGGTTGCATTATTTCCAGAGGTGATCACAGAAAGTGCCAGCCAGCTGAATAATCTGGCTCTGCATAGAATGTGTAAACAATTTTGACACAAAATATAAAGTAAAAAGCAGCAACCCTTTCCAAACGTTTTACAGAAATTCTCAAAGTATATTCCCTTAAAAGGGAGGTCATGTCATCTCTAAGGTCTACAAGTCCTAACTTTCCACATGCTGCTTCTAAACCCAATACTTACAAAGTTGCATTTCCACAAAACCTCCAGGAATCAATGTGAAAAGCTGGCATTATCACAACAGCTGGTCTCAGTCCATCAGAGTTCAACACTGTTCTGACTTTAGTATGGGTGAGAAATTATTGTCAGCATTTACCAGTGATATCTCTGCTATACTATCTACTATCAGTATGATAACTTAAGACCTACTGCCAAAAAATATTTTTAAGATGCAAGCTATATCAACAGGAAAGGGATGCTGATATTAGATTAATGAATGTGTTCTTAAAAAATCGACAATTAAAAAATGAAGGATCTAATTTGGCGGTTGCTGGAGATGCGGTCAAAATTATTTCTACTTAAGAACAGGGTACAGTAACTAAATCAGTATGTCTGGACACTTTTTCCCCATACTATCTGGTGGTCATTTTTCTGGCCCTTCCCAGCCTGAAGTCCTTCCTAGTACACTTAAATACCATGATGGCATGATAGTGCGTGGCAACATGTGTGTGCTGATTAGGAGCAGAAATAGCAGTTATTGCATTAGCAGCTGTTGATCTGAGAGTATTGCTACAGTAAATAGCGTCCTTTGGTGTTTCTGTTGGATTTTTTTTTTTTCCTTTTAATCACAGTCATGCATTACGTGGAGTCATCTTACGACACAGTTTCCAAATCTACTACCATGGTCCAAAGCTTACTCTTCAACCAAGTAGCTAAAGAACATGTTTCTTGTAAATTCTTGCTGTGTTACTATACTGTATTATAGGCTAGAGTTTATTGCAGGGTTTTGTATCTGTTTTTCTTCTTGTCTTTTTTCCCTCTCCCCCTTCTGCATTCTGAGCTTTTGTAGGCATTCTGAGTTGCTAGTCTGGCTTGACTGGAAAGTACTGCGTGTTTGTTTTGTATCTGCATGTGTGATACCAACTGTTGAAGACTGCTTGATGTTAGATGAGGGCTTATGCTCAGAGCTGTTCTACAGTTGTCTCTGGCAAAATCTTTCCTTACCAATGACAATGATGTATCTGTGTGGGGAGAGTCTGTTTTACAATATTACACTTGCCGTGGTCTTAATTTTACTGATGGGGCATGATTATGATTTCATTTACATTAATCAAATTCATGAGTCATTCCATTCATGTCAATAGCATTAAAGAGCTATAGAGACAAGTTAGAGTTCAGAATCAGGCTTCTGGTGTTTAATCTGAAAGCATATCTGAATCACTTCATTAAAGACAGAAACTGAAGGATAGATCCTCTTGCTTACTTTGCATTACTCAGTCATGCCATTAGCATTAAACATCAAATAAAGAGCTAAAATGACACCTGGCAATGTGTCACAGTACACGGGTTTTCTGTTTACCTCAGATACAGAAAATATCCCTGAATTAACAAGATTTAAGACTGTATTTCAAGTATGCCAAAGTTATGGTATTAGATCTCCTTGCCCTTGAATGTTGGCATTTATGTATAAAACTTTTTTTCTTCCCTTGTTTTTTTATGTCACTCTTACATAATTTGAATGCAAAAGATCTAAAGGCAAACTATATTTAAGTAAGACCTCAGAGATGAGCTTAGTTTTATAGCCCTATCCATAAGGAATATTATATCTGGTATATACAGACGCATAAAAACAGTGATCACAATTCATAAAATTTGTTTTGTAGGTATCTTATAAAGCATTATCTAATTTCCCTTTTTTAAAAAAGTGAAAATCATGTTAACTTTCCAAATACAGACATTCTAAAACAATAAAAGGTTTTATACTGCTGTCTGTCTCCTGCTCAGACAGAGAAATTGTGCAGGAGATGATGGGCATTAATTTAGTCCGTACTGATAAGTACTTTTAAGACTAAATATTCTTGAAATTGCACTTATTTAAATTACACTCAAGCTCCCTGTAAATCTAAAAAAAGATTATAAGGAGGGGAAATAATTTGAAGAGGCCTAGCAAGCTATCAGAAAATTGCTCTATTATATCTCTTCAGATTTTTTCCATTTTTTTAAGTCAAAGAATTGCTGACATTTGAGAACATTTTCTAGAAATCTGTTTGATACATTACAGGCCTTAGAAACTATTATTGTCGTATATACTTTCAGCTTCACTACAAGCATATGCCCCAAGACACCTGATCAGAGAACTGAGGGATTTATCAACAAACCAGGGCCAAAGGAAGCTGGGAAAAGGGATCTTTTGCTATATTTTCTGTAGATCTCACTGAAAACTAAACATCTATCTGTGCAACTTGTTTTTCCAGTGTAGTCGCAAAAAATATTTTCTTTGGAACTCCCAGTGAAAGCTTTCTTTTCACCCTGACAGACCACACATTGAGTTTTACACCCTACACTACCACAGCATAAGAAAGTTTGTGTATGTTGAAACAATAAGACACTGTCTTCAGACTGGATACAAATGTTAGTTAAGCCACTGGTGTCTTATAAGAAAACCTTGATATAACATCTACTCTTAGTAACCATGGGAATTACACATTTTCCTTTGTCATCTTTTCCAATGTTGTACTTTGTGATAAAATTGCTGTGTATTTCAGCATGCACACTTGGGCACACAGATTAATTATGAGGCAATAAACTTTACATAAAAGGGCTGAAAAACAATTAAAAATCTCACTTCTTGTTTTTCAGCAAACTAAAGTGAATAAGAAATTGAAGTTAGAGAAGGGAGATGAGACCTACCGTGGTTGTCTTTATCCGTCCTCCTGGTTGTGTACAGGTCCAGCCTGATTTATTGATTAGCAAATCACAGCCTTCTCCTTCTAAACATGGAAGCATTTCACACCACTGTTTTGTTTTGATAATTCGTGCTACGAAACAGAAAAGAGAGAAGAAAAAACAAAACCAAAAACAATTGGCAGGAGAATTCACATTTCACTTATCTCTAAACACTTTCTCATTTGAGTTGTCTATTTTCATTATCTGATAATTCAGCAATAGTTTATGATGTAGACAGCCCTAGGCAATTAGCAAAATTATTTACAACACCTGCTGTGCCAAAAAATTTAATTTCAAAGTTAAAAACTAACAAAAAAAACAAAATACAGCTTTATTATAAATAAAAAGAACATAGAAACTGGCTATTTTTCTAAATTGATGCTTGTTCCAATTGAGGAAACATTGCTGGGGGACTAACAGTTGAAGACTTATTATACTACCTAATCATTTTGGTGTCCCACAACTGGGATCCACTGTGTTAGACTCTCTACAAACCTGAGCAGACAGTCCTTATCCTGAAGTGCTTACACAGTAAATAGGCGTGAGACATGCAGTGGAAAGAGAAGAGCTGTAATAAACAGCTAGAGTGGTCACTATAATGACAGCTATTTTGAAACTCTGATATTTGCAATGGTAGGGGTATTGTCAAGGGCAGAAACTAGGAACACAAGAAGGACAGGTGTTGAATGAAGCAAAGTGGAAAAATCATGAAGAATAAGACAAAAAAACTGAGGGAAAAGACAGGAACAAACTACAAGGGAAAAGCAGTCTAGTTAGGAAAGATTCTAACAGAAAGCTGGTTTGATACGTGTTTTGTGTCTACTCTTAATGTTTGTGTCTCTGGCAAGCCAGTTCTGTAAAATTTCCTCAAAGTCATACACAGCATGTATTCTTGGAACAACAGATGAGCCTTGACTGCAATAAATTAAAAGCAAAGGAGTTGTAAGGAGAAATTTTTCCTCAAGGTAGGGAGAAAAGGGGCTTTAATACCTTAGACTTCTTCCTGGACTATAATACTACTCCTTCTGAGTTCACTTTTGTAGTATCTGGGTTCCTTCCCATAAAATAGCAAACAATATTACTAATATCTGGTATTCCCTTATTCTCTCACTCTTCACTGAAGACAATATTTGTAGAGTGGAGTGGTTAGGATACTTTTTATAAGACACATATACAGCGAGACACTCACTTGCATGGTGCCATATACTCACACTAAACGAGCTAAGATCTCCCAAACTAACTTTTACTCAAAGTGTAAGGCTTGCAGTCTGCAGAAAATGGGCCTTGGTTCCTCCAGGGATCATCTCACCAAGTCTTGTCTGGACCATAAGAAAGCTTCACCACTTCAATGTACACCTAAGTGTCCTAGGGTTCAAGACCATAACTTGCTCCACATAGAAGGACATAGATCATTCCTCTATGTTGATGTGTGACACCAGCACACAAAACACACTTTCAATAATCATAAGCCCAGCAAAGAGAGAACTACAGGAGAAATACTTGGTGAAACAAGAGTACAAGAAGTTTATGCTATACCAAATTAATTTGGGGTCCAAGGAGATTAAAAGCAGGGATTTATCCCAGTGGCAGCTGCAGCTTTATGCCCCCACTGAACGTGTGATTCAGCCTGACTTCTCCTGATTTGAACTACTTAAGAATGCAATTTCCAATGCCACCAGATCATGACAAAAAATAGAAGTGCAATTTAAAATATTTTAATAAAACCCTCTCCAATATTTTGACACAAAACAACTTGTGTCCTCAGCTCTGGTATAATTGTTGGTAAGCTCTGGAAATATAACAAAACCTTATTTCTTTCAGTGGAAGCTTAATCTGAGATTCATATCAATATTTTAATTATAAATTAATTAAATAACCTCTTTAGCACCTAAATGTCTACATAGGAATTTGCACTGTTCATTAGGTAGTATATAAACCAGTGCTGAAATGATTCATAACTACAATTTTTTGAAGCAATTCTCCTAGGTTTTTATAACACATATTACACAGAAATGTGGATTCTACTTGGGCACCAGAGGTACTGCTCTACAGGTAACTGGATCATACCAGTTTTTGAGACTAACCCCTCCTCTGTAAGAAATAGCCTCATCCTTTCTCAGTGAAGGCATACATCCAGCTACAGCTTAACAGAATAAGCTCAGTAAAATGTTAACACCAAATCTGACCCACTTGCATGCATATCTTTCTTAATTCACAGTATCAAAATGGCTATTTCTATAAATGTTTCAACAATATGAAGGATAATTGAAAGACTAAATAATAAGCTAAACCTCAGAAATATCCACTAGATTGCCTTTACTATCTCAGCTAGGAAGCTTTCCTGGAAACATGACTTGAAGTAATCTTATTTTATAAAAGTATCTCTGAATTACTCTCAGTGTTTGCTTAGTTGCAATTGCTATTATCATAAATCCATGGGGTCTTTGCTCTGGGTATTGGCTATATCCACACAAATTTAAAACACACCAAGAGTATTTTACAAAGCATAAAGTCTAAACATTTCTCTGCTGTGTATATACCAGTTCATGCATTTAGGCCTTGAGAATCAGAACTTCTTTTGTAGGGAAAAGCTAGCCAGCTGACATGGTCTAAAGCTGATCAGTATCAAAACCACGCCTCCTCAGCCCCCATACCCCCCTCCAACCTCCCTGCCGGGGTCTCTTCCCCATTATTGGTTTTCACATCCCTTTAATTCTGCTTCTCCACTCACTCATTGCTTTGCTTCAGGAGCCTCACCAGCACACCAGCCCTCGCACACATGGCCATGAGGGAGGCCCTGTTCTTGTCTGCAGGACATCTATTTTTGCATTTTCACTTTTTGGTTTGCACATTGTACCACAGCACGAGAGCATAATATAGGAAGGGAGCAAAATGTACAGCAACTTTATCAGCATAATATCAAAGAATTTTCATCAGTAATTTAAACTGAGTTGCACTAGTCAAAGCAAAGGAATATAGTGTATTTCCTGAGGCAGTGTAGTTGCCTTTTTACTGTGTATATTCACTGGGGGTGTAATTCAGCCCTCTGCAGACAAGGGAGCAAAAAGCCTATCAGCTTCTTCAAATCCACTCTGAGCTCCATTATAAAGAATTAAGTGGCACTTAAATGATGCACGGGCTTTGTGCAGAACTTCTGCAAGGAAGTGAATTTCAGCTTTAGAATCTGTGCTGACACTACCTTGCATCTCCTAAGAAGGGCTGTGCCTCTTCACTTAAACTGGAGTTAATGGGAACTGACATTGCTCAGCACATGGTAGAATTGCTTTCCTGGGTAGAGCCATTGGAACTGGAGAACAAATGGACTCTATCCAAGTCTTTGTGTCTGTTTCATGCAAACAGTTTTGAGGCATTGGATGCAAGCAGATGTTGTATCAACATAATGACAAACTACCCACCAAAGTGATCTTAACTGTTCTGTAAGGCAGAGAAACTTGCAACCAATTTCCAGTTATTAGTATAAAAAGTCTCCATTCATGATCAGTATAGTCTAAGATTGCTCAACTGAGTAATGCTTCAGAACACCATAGATTGTTTTCTGCTAAATCCTGCAACTAGATAAGGCTTGTCAATAAGCCTCTCAGCTGGTTTAATATTATATATATATTTCCTATGGAAAATCAGGTTTCTTTTCTAGATATCTTTTTCCCAAATTCACCCCATACTCAGGGAATTATCAATCTCTGCATCTCTAGTCAATATTTTAACTGAAAATCATCAACTGTTTGTGATAGCAAAAAATGGAAATAAGTCTTTTACAGCAGCAGTAAATGCAAAAACTTACAGCCATCTAAAATATGATAAATTAAAGCACTCAGATTGATACAGTTTTCTGTTTGTTTTTTTTTTTTAATGTTGGGGAATGAATTAAATAAAAGTAAAAATGTACTTTATTTTCACTGAATAAGAATATTGATTGAAACAGCATTGGATATTGACACTTATGATTTCAGAATACATTATGCTTCTATGCATAAAAGGTAATGTGCAAAGTCAATATTTTTAAATTTCTATATATTAATAAAGTATGACCAAAACCATGATACATGAGGCTAAATAAAGTAAAAAAAAAAAAAAAAACAGTATCAGAGAAGATACATTGAAGTAGGGACTAGGGAAAATTTCTTCCAAGCAGAACACAACATTTTGAAATATGCTTCTTAAATGAGAACTTAGCTCACCAATACTTTTTACAGAATGATGTTCTTCTTCATATTATTTTTTTCAATAATTTTTTAGCATTTAATGTAAGCTTTAATATACACATGGAAGAAAATATTTCCTCTTTGACTTTCATGTATTATTTCAACATGGTTTTCCTTGAACTTTCAAGAAAGGTGATCAGCATAGCAGATTCCCAAGGTTCAGAAATGCCTTTGGCTTCACCACTTTAGAAGTACATAGACAAACACATTCATCTCAGTGCATTTTGCTTGCCCCATTAACACTGAATAGGTCCACTTCTTTTATAATTATTCACCTACAAATGATCCCAACTGGTTTCATCATCCCACTCATCTCCCAGCCTTCTTTAAATTTTATCTGATATTTATCCTTTTTCAGTTTTTTTCAACTCTAGCTTTTTGCTCTGACCATTTTCCTCGTCTGCCTGATTTAGTAGACACACACTATTTACCTATCAGAGATCCCCAAACATCTTGCAGAACTTCCTATGTTTAGCTAGTTTTACCTATGACTGGTAAATGCTGTTCACTGTCCTCATTATGCACAGAGGTTAATCATCTTGACCAAGGTCACACGAGAAGTTGTTGCTCAGCCAGAAACAAAACTTTTGAATTTTTAGTGCTCACTAGACTGAAGGAAGACCTTTCTGTGTCCCTTCCTCCTTCAGAGAGAGAGAGTGTACTTTAATATGTGTACATAAAACAATTAGACAACAATAAATATATGCAAAGTAATATACTTTCAAAAACATATCAGTTAAATTTCAGCAGCAGGAAAGAGGCCATCAGAAAGACAAACTGAATCACATCACTCTAAGAAACTGCAATCATGAACTGTCTTTAGAAGAGCAATTTGACTGTAATAGTGTAAAAGCCCCAAATGTCAATCT